CTCAGTGGTTCCACTGACTACTTCGAAAGCACAAGGTCCTGAGTTTGATCCCTGATACCAAACAAAAAAACAACAATAACAAAAAGATGTTACTTAGACTGCACACAGCTAATAAATGGTAGAGCTAGGACTTAAACCCAGTCTGGTTACAGAGTCTATGCTTTTAATCAGTCACAGTGATAAAATAGTGGTACTGTATACTGCTCAATGTACAGCAGAAGAATTAACACAAGAAGTGGAAATGCATAGCTTACTTTTGGGAAAAGGGTATTATTAAAGTATAAGATGTTAACAAAAGAAAGCAACAGAGTCAAGTTAGAGGCTCTCTTCAGCTGACAAAGCACCAACACTTTAACATAACAGCCAATTCCAAGCTGGGTGTAATAGCCCACGCCTGTGAGTTCAGGGCCAGCCTGAATTACACGGCAAGACCCCACCTGAAAAACACAAAAAATTGCTGACGATGTAGCTCAGGGGCACCCCACCTGCCTGGCAAGCACAAGTTCTAAGTTCAATCCCTAGTACCAGTTAAAAAAAAAACAACAAAAAAAAGTAGTAATAGGTGATTCCAAGGTCAAAATAATTTTCTCAAATTGCAAAGGGGGACACCAGTTTAGTGGCAGAACACTTGGTTTCACGTCACAAAATAAGTATTTTGATACCAATGTCCCAAGAACACCTAGTGAAGAGTTCTGACATCCAGACTTCTAATAGCAGCAATGGCAGACACAGCTGAGCTGGCACTAATGAAAACTGCTTTAGTAAAACTACTTTGCACTGAAGAAATGAGTAACTAAAAATAGAAACTCATAAGGGACAAAGCACACAGGACCAGGAATCTGATACTGTAAAGGGGTAAAACTGGCAAAAATAAGCTATTTCCAAACAAAAGGTAAAAAAATAAAAATTAAGTCTAAATAATTTTTAGTAGAATAAGAAAACTATCATGCTGGGTAGGGTATCACTCCCTGTAATCCCAGAACTCTGAGAGGCTGAGGGTAGGAGGATTTTAAATTCAAGCCCTACCTAGGCTACTACTCAAGGAGACCCTGGGTTCAATCCCCAAAGAGGGTGAAGGAGGGACACTAATCATCTGAAAAAAATGTTGTTGTTGTTGTTTTCCAATGTAGTTCAGGCTGGCCTTGAACAAGTGGCAATCCTCCTGCTTCAGAGTGCTGGGATTACAGGTGTGCACCACCATGTCCCGCTCACACATCAGAAGATTTTCTAAGTGATGGCAAATGGTTCAGAAAGTGCAGCTGCAGAAGATACTAGACTGAACAAATGTATAAGGTCAAGCAAGAAGAGACTGGTAATCATCATTTCAGTGAACCCCAATATGGATATATGGCTGACCAAGCACAAAATTTGTCCCAAGAAACACAGTGAAAAGGCCTATGGAACATGCAGAAAGGAAAATGCCAATCCTCAGACATCATCAAATTAATTCAGCAAGCATTGTTAAAAACCTACTATTCTAGGTGCCAGGTACGCAGGGATGACTATACTAGATCAAAACCTTGCCCACACAGAAGTAACATTCTAGGGCCAGGGATTTATCCCAGTGGCACCATGCCTGTCTCAAAAGCACAAAGTTCTGAGTTCAATCCCCAGTACGAGAAAAAAAAAGTTACCTTCTAATGGAGGAAAGTGATAACAAATATATTCTTAAGAGAACAATAAATATTCTCATAAAAGCCTACAAGGAGTCCTTTAACATAGATATACCACAGTTTATGGCAAATAAATGAACACAATATTAACACATCCCTCCCCTTCAGAGGAAGTCCTGCAGCCTAAAGTGATTAACTATTGCTTATCTTAAAAAGCTAAAACTAAAACAATGTATACATTTAAAATGTATCTACAAGTAGAAATATAATTTGACTTTTACTTCCAAGAATGGCTGTCACTACCGCTCCCCAGACAGGCAAAGTAAATTGTACTTCAAAGTTTTCCAAGCTTGACAGCCCTTAGTTTAAAATATTTATTACTGTAACTATCTTAAAAATACCTAGAATTGCTTTCCCTGTAAGCCATAAAATTACAAGTGGAGGGGGCTGAGGATTTATCTCAGCGGCACTGTGCCTGCCTCGCAAGTACAAAGTCCCGAGTTTGATCTCTGGTACCAGGAAAAAATATTATAAGTGGAAGCCAAGAGTGAGAGTGGAATCCAGGCATAGCACACACCTGTAATCCCAGCTCTCAGGAGGCTGAGACAGGAGGATCTTTAGTGCAAGGCCAGCAAGGGCAACTTAGCAGGACTGTCTCAAAATGTAAAAAAGGAGCTGGAAATGTAGCTCAGCAGGTAGGGTCCTCCCCTTGGGTTCAATCCTGAGTTTTGAGAGGAAAAAAATTGCAAGTAGGAAAAAAGTATCATAATAAAGAAAAACAAATCTTCACAGCAAAAATGTCAAGATTTGGCCTTGGTGGGCTTTTTTTTTTTTTTTTTGTAAACACAGGGTCTCACTATGTAATTGAAACTGGCCTTGAACTCACTGTGTAGCCCAGGCCTGCCTCCAGCTCACAGTGATCCTCCAGCCAGCCTCAGCCTCCCAGGTGCTGGATTACAGAAGCATATACCACCACGCCCAGTTTGGTTGGCTTTAAGAATCTCACTATGAGGGCTGGGGATTTAGCTCAATGATTCCGCTGCCGGCCTCACAAGCACAAGGTCCCAAATTCAATCCCAAGTACCAAAAAAAAAAAAAAAAAAAAAAAAAAAAAAAAAAAAAGAATCTCACTATGTTTGGGAACGTGGCTCTGTAGTGGAGTACTAACAAATCCTTTGCAAGGCCCTAGGTTCAATCCCAAGCACCACACAAATGAAATTTCATACACTGTTTTAAAGTCCATACAGTACGCTAGGCTGCAACAGCTGGCTGAGATTCCTAATCAAGTTTACTAAGCACAGGTGTTGGTCATAATATGGAAACAGTCTAAAGATAAAGGCTATACCTTTCATGTCTTGAAAAAAATCAGTGGAAAGGAACTCATTTTTAATACTTCACTAACACCAATCTCGTAACTCGTGTCAGTCTAAACAACATAAATTCATACTATTTTTACATTTTCAAAAGATACAAGTTAGTGTTATATATACATATTTAAGTACAGAAGATTCAAGAAATACAGCAGTAAATAAGCGTTCCTAAAATACCACATTAAGGATAACATGTATTTCAGAAGCTCCAAGTCCACACCTACCTAGTTATCAATAACACCTACACACTACAGAAAGCTGACTGAACCTACCACTCCTTTAAGCAATTAACAAGCAAACTGTTCTGTCCCTACAAATAAGCAACAATGGAAGAATACTTGTTCCAACATGAACTACTCTTAGAAGGATGCGTTATACAACTGGATCTCATAAGCTTCACGATGTTCAGATTTTTCTATATTAATGTACTATTGTGAGTAAAGGATGTAAAATTTAGGATGCATCTAACCTCCTGGGAAACAAACTGTGATTCCAAATATCTGAAAATATCTCCAATTTTTTGGTTAAAATTCCAAAACTTGAGCTGGGCATTTATATCAGTGGCAGAGTGGCTGCCTAACCTGCTTGAGGCCATGGGTTTAATCCCTGGCACCAGGTGCGCGCGCGACACACATATACACATACACACACATAAAAATAAAATCCCAGCCTTGTCTTTATTGACAAAACTAAAGTATCTAGCAAGCAAAGATCACGCTAATTCTTTTTTTCAATACATCCTTGCCACAAACACCATTTGAGCCAACTTGGACAGGTTCTCTACATCAAGTAACTCATAAGGGAGAAGTCAATCTGGGAAAGTCATTCTGGATCAAAGAACTCTTCCCACAAGTAAGTTCACTCGAGTACAGTCAAGGGGACCTTTAAAGCTAATGCCTAGACAAGTGGATGTAGGTGTTGCCTCATGACTTGTTTCCCCTGGCACAAACTACTTGTGCAATTTTAAACCTTCCCGGCTTTTAGACACCTTGAAGGCGGCGGTGTACACAGGTAACAAGATTTCAAAAAAAACCATCTCTAAATGTGGGATGTGTTGTTAAGCAGCAGGATGAGCCACTGGGTGATTTGACTAGGGCGGCAAAATGCTTTTTTAATTTGGTGAGTCCCTGACTTGCAAAGAGTTAAAACTCTAGCCCCTTTTACTGAGATGACGTAATCTTCAACACTGCATTTCTCTTGGACTTAAAGGGAAGGGTTTAAAAAAAAAAAAAGAACAAAGAAAAATTTCCCCCAGTAAGAGAAATAAGTAAGGGACTGAACGAAGGTGTCTGAAGGTGGTTAGGTAACTCCTTGAAAAAGAAGCTTCAGCTTATTCAACTGAATAAGCACGGAGAGTTGGAGAAGCAAACGGAAACAGGAGGAACTCAACCCAGGGTAGGAACCGCAGGGACTGGAGCCACGAGCTCAGACCCACCCAGAGCGCGAGGCGCGAGGAGCCAGGCCCGGGGTCGCAGGGGCACGAAGGTGTCTGAAGGTGGTTAGGTAACTCCTTGAAAAAGAAGCTTCAGCTTATTCAACTGAATAAGCACGGAGAGTTGGAGAAGCAAACGGAAACAGGAGGAACTCAACCCAGGGTAGGAACCGCAGGGACTGGAGCCACGAGCTCAGACCCACCCAGAGCGCGAGGCGCGAGGAGCCAGGCCCGGGGTCGCAGGGGCCAGGGGCA